GGACTAATACAGAGGGTATATTAGCCTGTTTGGGCTATGATAACAAAATACGATAGACTGGGTAGCTTATAAACAATAGAAATTTATTTCTCACCATTCTAGAGGCTGGGAAGTCCAAGATCAAGGCACTGCAGATTGTCTAGTAAGAACACACTTTCTGGTTTACAGACATCTTCTTGCTGTGTCCTCACATGGTGGAAGGGACAAGGGATCTCTCTGGGGCCTCTTTTATAAAGTCACTAATTCCATTCATGAGGGCTGTATCCTCATGACCTAATGACCTCCCAAAGTCCTCACCTCCAAATACTATCACCTTAAAGGTTAGGATTTCAACATATGAATTTTGGGGGACACAAACTTTCAGAGCATAGCACAGAATTAGTCTGCTAGCAGTTACTCCATCCATAGCCAGGGCCCTAGTGGGAAGATTTAAAATTATTGATCCAGGGGCCAGCACTGTGGCTCACTCGGGAGAGTGTGGCGCTGGTAGCGCCGAGGCCACGGGTTCGGATCCTATATAGGGATGGCCAGTGCACTCACTGGCTGAGCGTGGTGCAGATCACACCGTGCCGAGGGTTGTGATCCCCTTACCGGTCAGAAAAACAAAAAACAAAACAAACAAACAAAAAATAAAATTATTGATCCAATTTCTTTAACAATTATGTAACTATTCAGGTTTTCTACTACTTTTTTTTTTAATTGTAACATAGTTGATTTGTACATATCTGTGGTGTTCGAATATCATTACCTGTGTGTAATATGTGATGCTCAAATCAGGCTGGTTAGGGGGCCAGCCCGTGGCTCACTCGGGAGAGTGCGGTGCTGATAACACCAAGGCCCCGGGTTCGGATCCCATATAGGGATGACCGGTTTGCTCACTGGCTGAGCGTGGTGCTGACAACACCAAGTCAAGGGTTAAGATCCCCTTACCAGTCATCTTTAAAAAAAAAAAAAAAATCAGGCTGGTTAGTATATTCAACATAACACAACGTAATCATTTTTCATGGCCCTCTACCAGTTTCTCTCTACCGCTCCCCCACTACCCCAGTTTTCTACTTCTTAAGTAAGCTTTGGTAATTTATATTTTCCTAGGAATTCATCTTGTTCCTCTAATTTTCAACTGTATTGGCATAAATTCTTCATAATATTCCATATAATCTTAAATCTCTATTTGATCTGTAGTTATGTTCTTCCATTAGGATTTGGATTCAGCTACAATAAATTTAAATGGACTTGCTTAAACTTTAGGGTTTATTTTTCTCAGATTTACTGACTATATATATATATATATATATAGTTTGTTTTTCTCAGCCATTTAAGAGTAAGCTGGAATCATATCTTTGTGCCCCTGAATATTTCAGTGTCTTTGTGTGTGCGTGTATGTGTGTATATATATATATGCATATGTATATATGTATAAACACACACACACACACACATATGGCATACCTTTTGGAGACCCTGTTGTTAAAACCCTTACCAGCATAACAATTAAGAGATACTCAAGTGTTATCTAATATTTCATAATTTGTTTGTGATTATGATAAATAGGATGTTCTAAAGGTTACAGCCTAGGGGAAGATTCTCTCTTGCCAGGATCTAGGATTGGTACTATTAAGGAAGTTAAATAACTTTCCCAAGGCCCATAGTTTGTAAGTGGTATAGACAGCCTTAAAACCAGAAAGTCTAACTCCAGGGGCCATGCTTTTTTTAACTCTGCAATCTCATGTGAGCAATATATTTTTTTTTTTTTTTTTTTTTTTTGCAGCTGGCTGGTATAGGGATTGAACCCTGGACCCTGGTGTTATCAGCACCACACTCTAACCAACTGAGCTAAGTGGACAGTTTCTTATTAATTTTAGGAAATTTAACACTGATAAGAATACTATTAACTAATCTACAGTCCTTATTCCAATTTTTTTCAATTGTCCCACTAATGTCCTTTATAGCTTTTTTTGTCTTTGTGGGTTTTCTCCCCCCACCGCCCCACCGCCAATTCAGGCTCCAATCCAGGATCACACATTGCATTGAATTGTTATGATTCTTTAGTCTACTTTAATCTGAATAAATTCCTCATTTTTTTTTTTTTTTGTTATAGAATATCCCCTAGTTTGGGCTTGTTTCCTCATGATAAGATTCAGGTTATACATCTGTTGTGCATAACAGAATAGCACGGAAGTATTGTGTATTCCTCTGTGTGTTGCATTAGAACACCGATCATTTGTTTAAGGTGATTCTGTCATGGTTTCTCCACCCTCAAGTTTTTGTTTTTCCTTTTGTAATTAACAAGTATTTTCTTCGTGAGGAATTTGAATCTGTGTAAACATCCTGTTCCTCACATACTCACACCCATAAGTTTTAGCATGCATTGATGATTCTTACCTAAATCAGTTATTACTCTGAAGGTTGAAAAATGTTGATTTTCTTACTCTGTCATTCCATCTACATTTATTAGTTGGCATTCTACTGTAAGGAAGAGAGCTCCCTTCTGTAATTACTTGTCACCACAGTGACAGAGGAACTGTCTATTTCTCTTTCTAGTTATAGCAGGTTTTACTTTATATTTCATTTTCAGAATTTTATATTTCCTGATGAATTGAACATTTCATCATTATATGATAATCATTTGTGTTTCTAGTAATGCTTTTCATCTGAAGGCCTAGGTTTTGTTTTCTTTTGTTACGTTTTCTCTTCAACTCTGGTTTTATTGAAAAACAGCAGCATTGGTGGTCGTGCAGGCGGAGGGGTACGGACCCATCCCGGCCCCCCAGGCCTAGGTTTGTTTTGAACATTAATATGGCTATTTCAACTTCCTTTTAGTTAGTAGTATTCAATTGAAATAATTTTCATCCTTTGACTTAATTTTCAAAAATTTAAGTCAAAGTAGTAAGTGGACATTGTTTTAAAAGCACAATAGTCCAAAAAGGCTCATAACAAACACTTGCAAGGGTCATAACAAATCCTTGGCTTCTTCTTCTTTATTCTGGTATTTTATCATTTTTGGATAAATCAGTATTTGAAGTTTCTATTATTATGGCTATACAATTATTCAAAGCTGAGCATTTTAGTATACCATGACTTATTTCCTTTTACTTCCTCAAGTTGACAATTACCTTGACATTTTCCCTTTGTACCTATTAATAATTCTTCTTGCACCTTCCTAGAATTCCTTTTTTTTTGCAGGCATGTTTTAAATAATTCCATTCCCCTTGTTTCTGGAGTAATTGTTTAGGCCTGCTGCTGAGCTGTCCTCCTGGGACTCTTTCTTCCGTTCCTCTGATTTGGATTCTCCATTCCCTGCATCTCTTTCTTAGTTTGCTTCTTTTTTTTAATGGGAACATGTTTCCCCAGTAGCTCGTCTGGGTTAGAAAGGCAGTAATTCAACAACAGGTATAGAAATGCCATACCTTGAAATCTGTGTACAGTGATCCAATCTAAATTGGTTGTCCTTTACAGCACTTGCCTGCCACCGTGGGATCTGCCTTCACCACCTTCCTGTATGTTTGCCTCTCTCCTGTCTTAGATCTCCTGTTGTCTGCATGTATATCCCCCCCCTACTTCTTTTTGTTTTTTTGATTTATGTCCTCATTTTGAAAGAACACTTCCTCCAGTAGCTTCTTGAGAAAGGATGCATGGGAGGCAAAATTTTTGAGGTTTTGTATGTCTGCAAATGTGTTTATTCTACCCTCGACTTCTGAATAGTTTAGCTAGGTACAGAATTCTGGGTTGGTGTATTTGTCAAGCAACAGACTCTAATATACTGTAGTTCAAACAAGGTAGGAGTTTATTTCTCTCATATTGACAGTCTGGAGGAAGCAGGCAGAGAGACAAAGTTGCCAGGCACCCAGTTTCTTTACAGTTTATTGCTCCACCATCCCCTAGGTCAATCCTGAACCAATTTATCAGCAACCAATCTGAATTCAAGCCCACAGGAAGGGGGACAGAGGAAGTGGAGAGCAAGCAATTTCCTTTAAAAAGGGGACCAAGAAAGCTTCACACACTCTGCTTATGTCCTTCTGGCTCCTGTGGAATGAAGTTATTTTCTAGTCTAACTCTTTACTCAGGGTGTTGCCTTTTGGGGGAGTCCTAATTTTACAAAAGCGGTTTACATCCAATCTCCTACCATGTAAAGGCTCTGGGATTGGTTTTCTATCTTCCATGTCTGAGGCCTATGAAAACCCAATATTCCAGGCCCCAAAGTAGGCAGAGGCCCCAGCAGACATCAGGTTAAGCCCTAGGGCTTCCCAACACTCTGAGTAGCATGCCCACTCAGCCCCAGATGATGTGGCCCTGCCATCGTGCTGCCCACACCTCTTCCCCTCTCTCCCTCATGCATCAGGCTCCAGCTTCTCGAGACTCTTTGCTGTCCCTATAGCTCACCAAGCTTCTTCCCACCTCCTGGCCTTTGCACATGCCATTCCTCTGCTTGGAACTCTCCCTCCAGATATCCAGTTGGTTTCTTCCCTCCCTTCATTCTGTTCAAATGTCATCTCCTGAAACCTTTGCTGACCACCTTGAGCAAAACAGCCCCTCATCACTACCCCCTACCCTTTTCCTTTCCCTTAAAGCTTGCTCCCGCGCCTCGCTCAGCCAGTGAGCGGGAACTGGTCTGTATGTGGGATCCGAACCCTCGGCGGGAGCGCCGCTGCGCTTCCCAAGCGGCGCACTATCGCAGTGCGCCACCGGGCCGGCCCCAACATGTGTACTCTTTGATCTCCATTTTACCCAGGGGGAACCTGAAGCTCAGAGAAGTCAAGTGACTTGCAGTCATGGGTAGATAACCATCTCCCCCATTTTACATAGGGGAATTGAGGCCTAGAGCCAGGCAGTGACTTGCCCATAGATACAGAAAGTTAAGGGCAGAGCTGGGACTAGAATCCAAGTCTCCTAACTCCTGCTTGTGTTGCTGCTCCAGAGCTGGCCAGGCAGAACAGGGGTTCAGGAGGAGCGAGGCAAATTAAACATAGCCAGGCTGAGCTGGGCGGGCACTGCCTCCCCAGCTACTACCAGAAGAAGCTGAAGGAAGGCACCCACAAGGCCAGAGAGATGGCATCGGCCTTAGACCAGCTGCGGTCACGGAAGAAGCTTACCTACAACCCTCAGCAGGCAGACAGCTTGGAAGTCTCAGAACGAAGGGTCCTCAGGATCCTGAGCCGGCTAAAGCAGCAGAACTACGGTGAGGGCCCTGGGCACAGTGGGCTGGTCTGGTCTGGTCTGGGCTGCGGGCTCTGCTCTTCTGCCCATCTGGCCTCCTGGCCCCCACCCAGCCAGATCCAGGGAGCTGAGGGGCCTGGTTTTCCACTTTGGGCTTGAACTATGTACATCAGTAAATGGGCTGATAATCACTACTCCACATCAAGCCCCATGACAACAGCCTGCTGCACTGCACTCTTCCCCTTCCTACCTTAGCCCTGAGCACAGGTTGGCCCCAAGAGCCAGGACTGAGAAGGGAGCAGCTGTGGAGAGATTAGTAATCCCAGGTCACTTAACTGAGCACCACTGGGGTCATTGTGCTGGAGCCTTTTCAGATGCACTAGAATTTAATTCATATGATCACATACTTACCCCATTTCACAGATGAGAAAATTGAAAGCGAGGAAGTTTATGCCACCTCAAGTCTCCCCAGTTAGTGTGCTGGGAAGAGTTTATACCCAGGTCTGACCCCCAGACCTGTGATCTTTCCACTGGGCAAGGCTGCTTCCCTTGCCCAAGTACCATTTATTAGGCTCCTATTATGTGACAAGTGATGGGATAGGAGCTTTGGACAGTCATGCTAGAGCATGCTTACCAGACTGTGCCAGAACCCATCCTCTTTAAGCTATCAGCTCTAATTCTGTGCTGTGTTCAGCTGAATGCTTTGCATACATTATCCCTTTAATCCTCATCATCAGAGAAGTGACTTGCCGAATCCCACCCATCTCATTATGGGGCAAAACCAGAATTTCACCTGGGTCTGCCTGACTCCCAAGGCCAGGCATGCTGTGAAGCATTCCCCTCCTGCCTCCTTCACCAGTTGCCAACCTGCAGAGCCCCTATGCCCAGGTACCCTGCATCCCACTCTGCCCGCCCCTGGACAAAAAGATGGTCAGTCGGAAACAGGGCAACCACTATATGCTGGACCAGTGTGCCCCCACCGGCCTGGACCCTGACATCCGTAGCCTCTTCTTCCAGTCAGGATCTCAAGGAAGCAGGTGGGTGCCCAGAGGGTGAGGGCCCAGCCCAGGCCCACCAACCTCCTTCCTTAAGAGGTCCCTGGCCTAGTGCCTGGGGAATCCATCCCTCCAAGAGATGATGCCTAATGACTGCCTGCTCCAGAGATAAAAGGTAGAAGGGGAAGAAATTAACTTTTGTTGAGAGCCTGTGACCAAGCAGATTGTTTCACTGAAGCCAGAGTTCTTGTCTTCCTGTACCCAGGACTCAGGGGCACCTACTACCTTTTTCTTATGCTGGCACTACCCCCCTTTCCCATACAGGGGGCTTAACTCATCTCCTTTGCCCAATCTGGTTCCAGATTAGGAGTAGCAGGTTAATCAGATGGGCAGAGAGGAGCATTCCCCACAGCAGTCCCCATCCAGGGCCCCTCTGGGAAGAAGAGCCTTGGACTTAGAATCAGCCCCTAAGTCCAACTGATGGCTCCATCACTTCCAAAGGGAGGCCTCCTCTCCCCTTGGGCACACAGGGATGGCTCATGTCCTGGGAGGACTGTGGAGAGAGGGCCAAACATCTCCCACCTTTCTACCTCCCTCTCCCAGGGAACACAGCTCTGACAGCAGAAAGTGGCTCAGCTCAGTGCCAGCTCGAACCCACTGACCCCCTGCAGTCCTGATGCTGGGCAGTTGTTCAAGGCCTGCAAAAGAGGGGTCATCAGGCAGGGGCTGCTGTTGGAGTTTGCTTTTGTGGCCTGGTAAGCCAATAAACACTGAGAACCTCAGCTTCTTTGTGCCTGGTGCCAAAGCAGGCCCCCAGGTATTCACTCCCCCCCACTCGGCTCTCAGAGTGCAGGGCTCCAGCCTCCCTCAGGCTTGAGTCTCTGAGGCAAGACTCATCTCAAAGCCCTGCCTAGGGTTGGGGTTCCTGCAACAGGTGATCCTGGATGCAAAGTCTTGACCTTCTGTGCTCTCAAAGCACAGAGCTGGGACTCTCCTCAAATGAATGTCTCCCCCTTTGAACTGGGAGCCCCACAAAGTAGGAGTTTTCTCTCCCCACTTGCTCTTAAGGGAGTGGGGAACATAAGAGATATACCTGGAAAAGATCTGGACCCTGAAAGTGGCAGGCCCCGTGGAAATGCAAGAGGCAACCTCAGTCATGCTATCCCTGACAGAGCCCCAGGACCTAGAAGTCTGCATCCTTTGGAGCACTAACGAGGTGGGTCCTTGCCCCCCAACCCACACACCACCCGGCCTATTTATCTACCAAAGAGAGTCCCTCCCTGGGACTAAACAGAGGTAGCCCCCCAGGGTTAAACAAGGAGCCACAGCAAGAGGTTGTAGGCCAAAGACTGAAATGAGGACAAAGATCTGACAAGTTTAAAACATGTATTTAAAATACAATTTATAAAATGCTTAATCTGCCGACTCAGGAGCCCGCGGTGCGAGGTGGGGTAAGGGTAGGCAGCTGCCCGCTACACCAGCAGAGCAAGACTGCAGGGGTGTGGCCCTACCTCCCATGCCCTTCTGTTCAGACACCCAAGGGGCCCATGTGCACACCTGGGATCACATGACCAGAACAGGACCCCAGAGGTTTCTTGAGTCTCTTCTGCTTATCAGGGAGGCTGGGTGCAGCCCTGCCGGCCCATCCCTGAGCAGAGCACCCCAGATGGGGCAGAGCAGGGTATGGCTGGGCTGGGCAGGGCAGGGCTTGGCTAGGCTGGGCAGGGCAGGTGGGCTCTGGAAGGGGCTGATGGTAGCAGATAGGGTGTTGCCTCCTGCCTGCAGGTGGGGAGCACCCTGATTGAGTGGGCTGAGAAGGGTTGGTCACCAGGCCCAGACCCCCAGCTCCTTTGGTTATAGGCTGACGTCAGAGTAGTGGCTCATGGGAAGCGGTTAGCTGGAAGGTCTGAGGCCTGGCTAATGGGATCAAGGAGGAGCTGAGGGAAGGGGACAGTACCATGAAGGCAGATAAAGGGGCAGCAGCCTCAGGTTTCTGCCCCCCAACCCCCCTGGGGTTTTCCAAGCCAAAGCCTGCAACTTACTTTAATTAAAAAAAAAAAAAGGAAAAAAAAAAAAAAAGCACTTATGGAAAGTTACAGACAACTATCAAAACAAACAAACAAACAAACAAAAAATCCCCCACACAAAATCCAAACCTTTTTCCCATATCCCCTCCCGCCTCCCAAGTTCCCGGTTTTTTTCTTTTAAAAATTTTGCCTGCCACCTCTCCATCTGGGAAGCCAAGGGCATGACTGCTGGTGGTGGTGACAGGCACACAGCGGGCAAAGCCCCATCTTTGGCCAGAGGGAGGTGGCAGCACCAGTCTCTGCCACATCCTCAATCTGCAGACACCCATCAGCCAGCCTTCTCTTTGGCTCCCACTAGAGGGGCGGGGCAAAACAGGTGGTCTTGATGGCTGAGCAATCAGCACTTCTGACCTTCCCACCTGGACCACCTCTGCACCTTTCTACAACTGAAAGGACATCCTCACCTTGGGCCAGAAACCACTATTACATGAGGGACAGACCTATACATTTAGAATGTGGACACTTGATCAGGGCAGTGGAACTAAAAAAATAGCAGCCAACTTTCTTCCTTGCCTACTCCTGGAGGTAATCCCCCTCCCTTACTCATGGAAACTGTCCCAGCTCTGCTCACAAATGATTCCTGGCTTCACACAGTTGTAAGGCTGTGCTATGGACTAGTTGCTGACTCAACTGGCAGCAGGCCCTTCCTCCTAAGGGGAAGACATAGTGGGACATGGCTTGCTGGGCCTGGCCGACCATTCCCACAGGGCAAGGCTGAACCAAAGGTGGAGTGAGCCTGCAAAACCTAGCTTGCCACCTTGGCCACCAAGAACTGCCTGAATAACAAAACCACACCAACCACTCAAAAACTTATCTGCTGGACAGGAGTGGGGAGGCCGTCTGGCTGGCTGAGGGATAAGGCGCAGTGCAATGGAAGAGACCAGAAGGCCTGAGAAGAGCCAGGCTGTACGCACACAGAGGTGCTCGGGACAGCTGCCCTCTTAGCATCTTCCACCTCAAGGAGACAAAGCAAATCTCCAGGCTCCAGGGACAGAGGAGAAACTGCATTCATTCCAGGCCCTCACTCTGGGAAATCAGGTGAAGAGTAGCCTAGGCCTCCGGGGAACTAAGCTGTCATCAATCTTGGCAATGCAAAACTTTTCTTTTCTCAACTTCATTCAGAATGGTCTGCCTCCATGGTACTGATTTCACACAGGAAATGTACCAGGTATAGTCACTGAACTGGGGCCATCAACTGAGATGGCATGCCACAGATCTTTAGGAGCTCAAGCCTTGCTGGAGTGGGAAGATCTATCCACCTCCTAACCACACTGGACAGAAGGCTCAGAGTCCTGGAGCTAGACTCTCTCCTGCTGTTCCTTGTGCTGATAGCAAAATACTGAACACATCTCGCATCCCTTACTTCTAAGCGCAGGAGTGCAGTCTTGCACCCAGATGCTCCCTGCCCTCTTCTAGCAAGCCTGGCTGGTAGGGAACCACCCTGAGGGGTATGGGAAGGGGAAGTCTGTTCACTTTCCCTATCTCCCAAAATACTAGAGGTGGGGTTGGCATCCCCGCCCCAAGGCTCTCTGAGCCTACAGAGCTAGCCTAGTCTCCAGGCAGGGCCAAGATGCCCTGGGACTTAGCTGGGGGAGGGGGATATAGGCATGGGGTGCTCATCTGTCCTGGGGGCTGCAGAGCCCTGCCCCTTTTCTGGGCGGCAGTAGGAATACAGAAGCTAAGCTCACCAAAATCCTATTGGTTAATGTTCCTAGTGAATTTCCCAGAAACATTTTTAAGTAGACTACCAAACTACCCTTCCTCAATTAAAAACTCATTAAATTGCTAAAACCCCTCCCATGCACTTTTTCTTGCAAATCAGACATTTGTATAAACAAACAAAAATAGGAAGAAAAAAAAGAAAGGATATTTTCAAATGGAACTTACTTTTTAAGTGATGAAGACATGCACATGGGGGTGGGTGGGTGGGAGTTCTCATCTGTGTTTTGAAATCCCAAATTAATGAGCATGATAAACTGTTATTGCTGGCACTGGCTTTACCCCAAGTGGCCAAGTGGCACTGTCTGACTCTCCACTCTGAGTCCTTGGTGGGTCCCCCCAACCCTCCCCTAACCCCCACCCTTTCCCTTTCTATTGACTTGGGACAGCCCTTGTTGACATGCCAATCACAGTGGGAAGGGGGGAAGAGGAGAGGTCACAGTGCATGGGGTTCAAGGTCACAGTGGGCGGAGCAAGGGGATCACAGTGCAAGTAATTCAGGTCGTTCCCTCTGCTCAAGTCCAGCTGTCTGCCACGGCAGTGCGACCCGTGGCTGACGACCCAGGAGGTGGTGACGGAGGCAGCGGCGGCATCCTTTCTTGCCTTGATTTATCTGCGCTGTTTGAAGCCTTGTGACCCATCAGGACCCATAGGCTGTCTGATCACATTATTGGGCTGCCTGCTGTCTTCAGGTTGGGAGATCCTGGTTGGCCTGAAGGGAAGAAGACCAGAGGAAGGCCTGAAGGTGGATATACAAGATGTCCCCAGATCTTAAAATCATCCATCCTTGCAGCTGGGGCAGAAGTCACATGGTGGCTATCAGCCAAGTCTGGCTCCACAACTCCAGACATCTCCAAGTTGGGAGGTCCCTGTGGGCAGGTGGGGTGGTGGTTCATGTTCACTTCTAGCAGCTTCAGCATTCTTCCCCCGTTTGGCTCACCATCATGCATTTGCAGGCAGTGGGAATGCTCAAGGACCCATTCTGTCCAGAGGCAGTAGCCATGAACAGCACATCCTCCACACAACTATGTGGTACAGACTCTCCAGAGCCCTAACCAAGAGCTCAGAGTGACACGGCTCCCACCAACTCTGCCCTTCTGCTTCTCACCAAACCATGTGGTCAATGGCTGACTCATATTATGACAGAAGACTAAAGGAAATGGACTTTTTCCACTTCGGAAAGGTGATGTCTTAGAGGAAAAATAACAGATAATGGACATCCCTTCAAAATAATGGAAAGAAGGTCTGCAGATTAGTTCTTCAAGTCCCAAAATACCAAGCCACAGAGGCCTCTCAATGTTAGAAAGAGACCGTTCTAACAAATACTGCTTTACCAGTAAGTGACAGATTTATATAGTGCAACCTCTTGTACTGCAGAGAAAAAGTGCTGAAAGTAAAAAAGAATTTAGGAAAATTCATAAGAACATCAGAAGGGGCTATTGGAGACCCAGAAGATAACATGGATGCACTTAACTGGGCGCTTTCCACTGTGCCAGGAAGGGTCTCAGCACCCTGTGCTCATCTGCTCATTTACTCACTTAACTATACAACAACATAATTATGCAGCTAAGACACAGAGAGGTAATTCTAAGAGGTAAGTGGCAGATTTTACCTCCAAGTTCACGTCTTTCACCTCTATGCAACACTGCCCTTGGTGCCTGCAGACTGCAGAGGCAGCATGCCAGCAAACCACCACCTCCCCGAAGCATTCCCCAGGGCTTCTGGAGCACAGACAGTGAACTAGCCCCAGCAGTCTGGGACTGGCAGCTGCAGCTGTGCTGTCCCTGCCCTGACTCTGCCTGCTTATCACTACCCTAACTTGCAGCCAGGCCACTCTCCTCCTCTTCCTCCTCCTCCTCAGGGGGGACCTCAGTGGTGTGGTCACACTCACCTGTCGAGGATGGGTTTCTCCTGCTCTTCCTCAGGGCTGGCGCTGCCCAGGATCCGCTTCCGGGCCTCGGCGTACTCTGCTTCCCGCTGTGCTAGGGACTTGACTGGAAGGGCTGGCCTGCTGGTGGAGTTGGGGCTGCTGACCACACCGTTGCTGGTGGGCCTCTTGAGGATGCGGATCTGTGGAGGGGGCCCCGAGGGAAGGCTATCGTCCTGAATCACAATGGGCACTTTGGGAGGAGATTTGGATTTCCTGCTGACAAAGCAAACACAGCTTCACAAATCCTACCCCTAACTAGGAAGGACACATCCATTTCCCCCATCCCCCACCAGCCCCCCACTTTCCTCTCCCTACTAATTCTATTCATTATTCTCTGGCCTCTGACCAGACATCAAAACTCCAACTCCTCAAAAAGGGTTTCTCAAAAAACCAACCTTGCCACCAGCTCCAGCAGTCCACAGGAGCTACTCCCCAGACCTAACCCCTGGCCAAGGGGGCTGGAAAACCACCTCATTTTGGACCTTCTATCCCCATGTTCATCACAGTCATATTAACCACCTGTGGCAAAACATTTCCTGTCTAGAATCCAGTGACTTCAGTTAAAATCCCAGCTTTCCCCACACAGACCACAGTATGATAGGCTGGTGAGGTGGGAGCCCCTTAGCCTGGGGGTAGGCAAAGTGTTCAACCTCAGCCAAGGTCTCCCACCACGTGTATTCACTCAAACCAGTCAAACACTACAAAGGAGCCTGCTACACCATCCCTGCCTGGCACCAAGACAGGATTTACCAAACTGCCTCAGCCTTTTGGCAAGAGTGACCTATGCCTCTCAGAGAAAAGCTACACCAGACAACTGAATCACCTCTTCAGAAGAGCTTCTCAGCAGAGAAACCTCCCTCGACAGGGCTCTCTGGTCTGCTGGACAGCGGCGGGGCTGGGGTGAAGAACGATCCTAGAAACAGTGCTTGGCAATGCTTAAAAGAAACATTGTCCAAGGCCGGTGGATATGCACATCAAGGTGATGTGTCCACGAGGAGAGGTGGAATTAACAAAAAACAAATATAGGAAGGTCAAGAAACAAAACCACAGGAGGAGAAAGGGACCCAGGCAAGAATGACCACCCCACACAGCAACTAGGACCCTCCACAGAGCAGTCAACTAGCTTCTCTTCAGAACCTTGGTTGTCAGAAGGGGTAGGGACTGGAGGAACTCAGTTGCTGCCAGGGTGAATTGGAATAACTCCTGGACAGGAATGGCATGAAAGGGGACTGCAACCAGGGGTTAGTGTAGTTGCCGAGAGGAGAGACAGACAAGGAGCCAGCAATTTGATCAAAGAGGCAGGGAGCCAGGAAAGCTAGAGGTCAGGCAGAGTGCCCCAGGGCTCCCTGGGGAATGACTGTGCAGCCCATTAAGCAAATCCAGAGATCCTATCCTCCTTCCTGCCCCTTGTCCCTGGGGAAAACCAACAGGTTACCTAAACCCAAAGAGAAAGCTGAAGTCAACTTTCACATGCTCTAGAAACCCACTTCCTCTGCTGTCTGGGTGGGGAACAAAGCTACTCTTAAAGGTCTTTCAAGAATCTCTTAGAATCTTTTCTACCAGGATACACTCATAATACCCTAAGCCACCAAGTCACTGAGGGCCTAGAGAAATAATCTGTCCAAATTCCTTGTGTCACAGAGAAAGAAACTGATGTCCAGAGGGGAAAACAAAACTTGTCCCAAATCTCAGAGCAACTGGGGGCACAGCCGGGCCTAAAACTCAAGGCTTCCAACTTGTCACCTCCCCACTTTTCATCAGACGACCTCACACAGGGGGCCCACTAAAGTGGAAGGTAGGTGCAACACCCCAGCCTCACTCCCATAGCCTCAAGCCACCATGTCTTGGTCTCCAATTTGGAAGGAAGGGTTTGCTACCCATGAGCCTGACCTGCTAAACCTAATGCCAGTGGGAGAATACCACTCACTGACTGCCCAGCTCTCAAATGGCAGAGAGCATGAGCCCTCAGACCAGACAGTAGCCTTACCTCTCCTTTTGTGTGATCTTCAGTTTTTTTTCCAACCGTCTGTCTATTTCCTAGAGGAAAAAAATGTATATAAAAAGTGGAAAAAAATCTCTCTCAAATAAAAACTTATGTCTTTATTTTCAGAGCTAAGGGCAGTGTCCTCTCTCTAGCCAAGGACATGACTGTGTCCTCTGAGGTAATGGATGTGAACAAGATAGTCTCTGGGGTTTGGGGACCTGACTCCCTTGCGGGTCCATCTCCCTTCTATCCCCAAGACCACAATGACAGTTTTAGACCTCGTAGTTCAGCTGGGTTCTCTACATAGCCTCCAACCTGTTCTTCACAGAGCCATTCAAATCAACTTTCTAAATATAAATTATGATCACTTAAAACCCTTCAGCTGCTTGCAGGACCAAGTCTGAGTTCCTCAGCAAGCCTCAGCTATACCTTCTTTAATCTTCTGTTCCCATTTTACACTACAGCACTACTGAACTATTATTAACCCCCAGAACCCAGCGTGCTGTTCTGCTTGCCTGCAATGTTCTCTCCCCCTGCAAACTCCCATTTATCCTGGTTGGATTACCCATTTTTTTGTGAATTCTGCTCTGATCCCACCAGCACAGCTAATCACATCAGGGATAAACTTTTCCTTTTATATCCCTTAATGGTCACATATATCAAATATTTTATAACCTATTTTTTTTACTGCTATGGACTTGAACTCTCTGTGACTAGCACTTAGCAAAAGGCCTAGAGTAAAACACTTTTCCTTTTATATCCCTTAATGGTCACATATATCAAATATTTTATAACCTATTTTTTTTTACTGCTATGGACTTGAACTCTCTGTGACTAGCACTTAGCAAAAGGCCTAGAGTAAAACAGAAGCCTAATGTTTGTAAACCTGGAAGTCCATAGTCTACAAGTGGAAGAAGAGACAGGAACCCTGAAGAGTAAAACAGGATTTCTCTCAGAACCAGAGGCTGACAGGTCCTGGTTAACACTAAGCCACCATTTTAGAAAAAAGCAAAGAGAAAAAAGATACCGAGGACTAGAAGGTGGAACTATCTTCCAACACATTCTGGACCTGAACTCCAACCATAGCAGGTCAGAGCCCATGCTGGGCCTAATCTCTTCAAGTCTCGGGCAGGACATAGAGCCAATGGCAGTCTGAGTCCTCAGGCCCTCAGAACCAGGAAATCCATGCTGCCTCCACACACTCATGAGCGAGTACCTACCTGTACACTGCATGGGGGAGTGGGGGGAGAAGCTATGCACAGAGCAAAGACCAAACCTCCAGGCTCCTTGGCTATCCCATTCACTCAAGCTTCCTCAGTGAAGACAAGACCATCTAGCTAGCTACTGGAGAAGAAAGAAATTGAATGCAAATTTACATGTTTCTTTGGAGAGAAGATCTATATCAGTGGTTTCCAACCAGAAGTGATTTTGCCCACAGGGGACATTTGGCAACATCAAGACATTTTTGGTTGTCACTGGGGGAAGGGGAGCGGGGAGGGTCCTACTGGAATCTAGTGGGTGGAGGCCAGGGAAGCAACTAAACATCCTACAAAACACAGACAATCCCCATAACAAAGAATCACCTGGCCCCAAATGTCAATAGTGCTGAGGTTAAGAAACCCTGATTTATACTGATTCATAAGATACATGGGATTTTCAAATAAGTCCATTACTTACAAAACATTAAGAACCACAGCCACAGTAAGAAGGCTTTGAAATGTGCTGAGATCTGCCCTCACAGCTCAGTGTGTAGCCAGTTTTCACCAGTGCTCTATATGTCCTGAAAATGATTGTATTCTATAGTTGATGAGTGCAGTTCAAGCTGGTTGGCTACATTGTTCATATCTTCCAAATTCTTACTGATTTTTTGATGTACAGGCTGTGCAATTAAGAATTATTCTTTCTAGTAAATTAAATGGTTTATCATCATGAAGTGATCTTCTCTGCCTTAAAATCTACTGTTTAATATTAACAAAGCTAGGCCAGCTTTCTTTTGGTTATTATCTTCTGGAATATGTTCCTCTCACCTTTCCATGTTCTTGTAAAGCTTATGAAACTAGATTTAAATCAAGTCTAACACTGACAAACATTCTGATAGGAGCTGAGTTGTGTTTAAAATGTATTTAGGGCCCCTCTGCTCAGAAGCAGGAAAGGACGACACAGAAAACACTACCTCCTTCAGGGTGGACCACCAGCCAGGACTGCCGCTAAAGTGGCAGAAACCACAACAGTAGCCACAGCTACTGTGCAGGCAGCCTGCCAGACACCTGACTGCATTGACACAGGAGAGTCACCAGCGGAGATCAGAAAAAGAGGACATCTCTCTCCTCAAAGCCCACTCCAAGTAATAGAAGAAGCAACTGTTTTACCAGAGGACCAGATATCAACATAGATACTAGAAATACAAAAACCCTTGGGCCGGCCCGGTGGCGCACTGGAGAGTGCGCCGCTTGGGAGCGCGGCGGCGCTCCCGCTGAGGGTTTGGATCCCATGTGGAGACCGGTTCCTGCTCACTGGCTGAGCGCGGTGCGGGCGCGACACCGAGGGTTGTGATCCAGTTACCGGTCAGTAAAAAAAGACAAAAAGGGAAAAAAAAAAAAAAAAAAGAAATACAAAAACCCAAGAAAAAATGACACTACCAAAGAATATAGTAATTCTCAAGTACCAGACCCTATAGAACAGGAAACCCTTGAAATGACTAAAAAGGAATTCTGAGCAACAATCTTAAGGAAATTCACTGACACAGGAGAAGACTCAGAACATAATGAAACGAGAGGGGAAAAAAAAAAAAAAATCCAGAATAGGAAGGAGGAAATTTACAAAGAGATTAATACTTTAAAAAGGAATGAAGCAAAACTCCTGAAACTGAAAGATTCACTCAACAAAATAAAAAACAATGGATAGCTTAAGCAGCAGGCTAGAACAAGCAGAAGAAAGAATTTCTGATCTTGACGATAGTTCTTTTGAAATAACCCAGGTGAACCAAAAAAAGGAAAAAAGAATTTTTTTTTTTTTAATGAAAATTTGGTACTTTATTTATTTTTTTTGTCCTTTTTTTTTTCCAGACCGGCCGCACCGCGTGAGCGCACCGGCCAGGCCATCCCTATATAGGATCTGAACCCGCGGCGGGAGCGCTGTTGCGCTCCCAGCACCACACTCTCCCGAGTGCACCACAGGCTCGGCCCAGGAAAAAAGAATTTTAAAAAGTGAAGAAAATCTAAGAGAGCTATCA